GCCCAAAAAGGAGCAAAAATGAAAGATAAGAAAAAATTTTAACACAACGTTTCCATACCTTATAACATTTCCATGTTGATCAATGTCTGCAACCACATAAGCTGGAGAAACATCATTTTCGTGGTAGGATTCTATAGTTGTGTGGGGCATCATACCATCCTTAAAAGACTCAGTAGCGTAAAACTAAGTTTAATGACTCTAACTTCCCGAAACAGGAGACGTTATAAAAGCTCACCTCAACTATTTCTGGCAGCTCTGAATTCCGGGCCTGAACTCCATCATTACCTTCAATGTTGCTAGTCCCTTCCTTCTCATCGCTTGCTGACCTTTCATCTTTTCTGTTGCCACTTCTTTTCTTCGCCTCTGGATCCAAAGAAAAACTCTTCAAATAGAAAAAACCATCATGAAAGCAATAAATTAAGATACACAGCAAAGGACTGTAAAAGGCTGAAAATAACAACAAAAATTCTGTAAAAATTTGTTTGCGACATCATGAGGTCTCAGACGTTTTGTTGCAAATAATTAAAAGCCAAGTTTGGTAATGAAAACAACAGATTTTGGAGAGAATTAGAGTAGAACAAGAGTCATAATAACAGGAATAACACGAATCATTGGTAAAAATTCATCTCTGATTTTAAAATATCAACATAATTCAGTTTTCACAAAAAATCTAGAATGAACACAAAGTCTTTTCGATAAAAGTACCTTTACCTGACTTACACGGTTTTTAATATAGCTGAGCAAAGAAAAATGAGGCTTTGCAGAGGACGCACTCATCAAACTGAACACATTCTAGTCCGTTTTGTTACTTAGTGTGATAAAATCTTAAGATTTGCTGTCTTGACAACTCTTATAAACGGCGAATGTATTAATATTTATTCACTTAGTAAACATAATGCTCGCTCATTGTGCACTAACGAACTGTACCGGTCGGGTACTAATGACACAGTGTTCTATGACTATGAATAAAAAGTACTTATCCACCTACTTGAAAACGTCGGAAAACTTGCTTAATTTCAAACTAATACATTAACAATTTTCAAGTAGCACTATACTCATAACGCACTGCAAGTCAATTCGAGTAATTGTGGTTAAAAAACAAACCTGATAAATATTTCACAGCAATCAGACACAGATACCAGTGCCAAAAGCCTTTTTTGAGAAATTTTTTTCAAAAAGATATATGGTAACAACCGCAAAATAGGAAATTGAGCTCCTAAGCTAGTAATTCTATTGACCTCACAAGACGTCTCAGTGATTAAAGCAGGGGAGAAAAACAAGCCTAACATCAGTAAAAAAATCCACAATTTCTCACCTCTTCGGGCAGTTCGGCATCCTTCTTCAAAATACCAATTACTTCTCCAACATCACCAGCTGGCGACTCAATGTTCTAAATGTTAAAATCACAACCCAATTATTTACATTAAATTATACGACACTAACTCAATAAACGCAGCAAAAAATTACCCCAATAAAAAATTGCCCCCCGAGTCTTTACGTCCAAGAGTTCAAGAGTAATCAAAACACATGACACTGGGATTGGTTAAAAATGTAACAATAATAAAACGATATCCAAAAACATTTAGGCAAAAAAGAAATCCTATTAATTTCAATAACGTCTGAAAATGAAAATTGAAAAAAGAGTCCAAAAAAATACTTAAACAACAATAACTACTTTTGAAAAGAAAAAACAACACTTACCGATTTTGAAGGAATATTGTCAACAGAGTAATGACGCGCAGTGTTTTGCAAAGTGACTGTAAGAAAAAGCAGTGATTAATTATACTCAATTATTAAAATCTTCTAAAAGTTAAAAGATGTGTCCTCATCATAAGAGTAATTTCTGTGTGCCATTGCAAAGTACACAACCTGCGTCTAACCAAAACAATAAAAAAATGGGAACAGGAGAAGAGAGACGTCCCTCCAAACAACTAAAAGCTTAACGTCCCAATGAAAAATTGGAACATCGCTCATAGAACCACACATCTGTAAACGATGTTCCCATAGTAAAGATTAATTACTAGTTAAGCTTATATAATAAGACGATAATTTAAAAAGAAGCCCAAAAGAAGCGAACTTTAACTAACCACTGTCTCCTTGAAGAGGAAGATTTAAACTCTGATCTCTAGGCAGTGTTGCAGATGAATGGTCAAACATTTGAGAAGCCATTTTAGACTGGAACTGCGTACGACCCTGATAACGAAACCTAGCTGATCCCCAACGAAACAGTTTTTTTTGAGGTTTTTCGTCTGGCTGAATTAATCTTTAAAAAAATCAGTCTTTATATTTAAAAAAATCTAAACAAGCCTGTAATAAGCCGTAAAAAAACTATGACTATCACCTGAAAAAGGTGTGGTTTTCAACAGCACATTTCCAAACGCGTTTTGCAGCATCATAATTAGAACGCTTGTACTCCACATAATTATTTTTCTCCAACTAGAAATATCAAAAATGAAAACAAAGCTTTCCTCCCCTTCAAAATACACAGTCCAAATAAATTATAATAAAGTGGAAAATAAAAGACAAAGCAGTAACTAACTTCTCCCGGCCGCAATTTAATTCCAAAAACATTCCAACGAAAAGCAATCTTGATAATATTCTGCCAAAGGAAACGATGTAGTCTGATTTGTTCTCGATATATATCGATTCCATGCGCGCTTATCCCGACACGCACCCAGAAATCCTTTGAGCTCTAAAAATGACACTAGCAAAACTGTTGTACCACCATGCACCATCATAACTCCTACCTTAGCGTCAAAAAACTCGATCCCATACAAAGACAATCGCTTGGCGTTATCCAGAAAACACGATTCTGCTTCGGACGCAGTCTTCCCCCTAAAACGCAAAGCCTATAAAACCCAACGTAGATCCTCAATACACAAAAAAATCTTAAAAATAAAAATGACTTTAAATAAAAACACGACATTACCGATGCTGCTTATGCATATCTCGTAGTTTTTCAGTTAGTTTCTCAACTACATTTCTTGTGAATAAATGTCGTTCAGCCAGCGCGGAATAATTCTTTGACGAGTCATAGTCACCCATTTCAGCTTGAGCAATGCAGGAACCAAGTAAAGCTTGGGAAGCCACGCTAGTTAAAAGCCTAAATGTTCAGCAACAAAAAACAAGATGAAACAAATAACCAGTGAATAACTGTAAATGAAAATATAAGAAAGAAATAATCGTTCATACGCAAATTTAAAAACAAAACTAACTTCCCACTATCCAGATCCTGACACACCTGAAGATATATAAGGTGGCGCGCTATATCATCATTTAGAACCGTCGGATCAGGTGGGTAGAACTTGACTTCAAACTTAAAATCGTACACCTTACCTAAACGCAAAAGTAGAAACGAATGCACAATAATACCTGCATTAACCATCTAATAATGCACTTTAACCTTTTACGAAATCCTAAAACGACCCACCGCAAGCCAGTTACAACAAATCCTAAAACCATAAACCCTCAGATTTTGAAATCTTGAAAAGGCACCAAAGGAAAAGAACAAGTTTCAAAATACAAGTGCAGTAACAAGAAAATGAACTCAACCTTTAACTTGTTTGGAAATCAATTTCTCTTCATTTAGCCAGTGCTGAAAATTATTATGATTGATTAACAAAGAGGGGAGAAAATAAAGTTACGATTGAACTTTTTAGTTATAAATCTAATACAAAAGAGCTAGCTGCTAGCAAAGCATACTACTTTTGCTCTATCCAATATTAAAATAAAAGCTCAAACAGAGTTTCCAAAACTTATTGCAAGAGACGAAGAGCTTATATTCAGGTTTAAAACTCTAGATGAGTATCCAAAATTATCCTACAAATACTCGTAAATTATTTATAGAAAAATACCTTCACATTTTCAGCATCTACAAAAGAAAGAGAAAAATATTCTTTCTCCAATAGTTGAAGGTGCTCCACCACCTTTGCATACAGTTCGCTTCCTTCTGCTTTCTTCTTAAAAAAACTACAGTTTATATAAGACAGATGAAAAACTAACAAAATGCTTCTCTTTCCAAAATGGTCAGAGTTAAAAATCAAAGGCAATTAAAAAGCTTTACAGTAAAACACATGACAAACATAGAATAAGTTTTGTAACACTAGTGAACATGTCATGTAATTACTGAATCCGAAAGAAAAGCAGAATTAGGAGAAACTTCTAGTCTCAACGATCATCTAGAAACATTTCATTCAAAAGTAACACTAACTGAAACACAAAAAACGTGTGCTGTTGAGTCCAACAAATGCACTGTAGCTTTCAGCAACGTCGAATCGGAAACTTCCGACGAACTGCCATTTACCTTGCAAATGCCTTCACCTTTTTCCTTTTCAGTCATCTTAATATACCAAAAGTTGTTTTAACAATTCACACGTTATCGCACGTCATTCCAAATGTATGCCATTTTCAGTAGCGCAGTTTCACATATAGAAAAAGGGGTAATATAGGCTGATGTCACAATCATCTGTCGTAAATGTACAGAGTGGAAGCGGAAAAAACTTATAAACAAAAAAAAATTGCTCTTGATATTCACTTTTAAATAGATCTTCATTTTAGTGCCATATAATAAAAGTCAACAAATTAAAGTAAAATAAATAAAGAGACGATTACTTTCCGCGAGAAATGCAATAAAAATAATTAAAAGACGGTTCTACAAAAGCAGGAGAAAAAAAAGATGCAAACACTGGAGAGAGATACGAGCTGCAAATTTAAAAAAATATTTGAACTAATTGTGCACATAACCGTAAAAATGAAGGGAACAAAGGATAAGCATGCATTAACAAAAACGCGACTATCTGAATACAAAAGAATAAAAAATAGTCACTCAATCTATGGTTTTCACTCAATAGTATAAACCTCAAACCAAATTTTTATTCAATCTTAATATGAAATTTCTGATCTCATTCTGAAATGACCAACTAATAAAAATGAACAGCTGAAAAATAACGCAACTAGAAGCGAAAACCATCCCAACCAAAACTGGTTTGCAAACTCTAAAAAGACGAGACAACCCCTCATTTCTGTTTTTAGTTTTCTGCAACTCTTCACTTTACTTTTTACTTTTCTACTTTGATCCGTTAATCTAGCCCAAAACATGCCCCAACTAATTTATCCATTCGCTTACAAAAAAAAAAAAAAAAAAAAAA